ATCCACCTTTGCTTTTATAGCCGTGGTCTCTCATCTTGATTACACAAAGTAATTTGCAATTACTACTCTGAAATATGAATTACATCTGTAATAATCACATACATGTAATAGAATGTTAATAGTACATTTCCCTTTTTTAGGAAATGACCTGTATGTATCTGTGTGAAATCAATAAATGGATCAGGTGCTACGTTGTCTTTAGTTACATTGATAATATTTATTTATGGTGAAACAGTGGTGGAATATCGCTGTTGCTTTCGTATAAATGACGCGAGCATACCTGCGTGGCCGCGATCTAATCCTGTTTACATGAAGTAAACCTGCTCCCCAGCAGGTTAGGGTTAGGGTTTCATGATTTACTCATGAAAGTAGCCACTTTCATGAGTAAATCATATATGTTTTTACTATTTCTTTTCCATATGGGAAGAGCTGATGTTTTGCTGCCATCTAATTCAAAATGAGCGCATGTGTGTGTTTTCTGTTCTATTGTGAGTAAAATATGGGTTTATAAGATTTGAAAATAATTAATTTCTGTTTTTTTAATCCCTATCCCTTTTACATTCAATTCAACTTAATTGAATCCTGTTTTATTTACACAGCACCAAATCACAACAACACTTGTTTTACATAGTATCTCAAAGCTGTACCTCAACCTGTTTCTTCTGTAGACATGTTTGGCAGCTCAAAGCTGAAGCACAGCGCCTCAGATAGCGCAGACAAGAATGGAGTGAAAAACCGGCTGAAGAAATTCATCATCAGACGTCCATCCATGAAGACTCTACAGGAGAAAGGCCTGATAAAAGGTTTCTGCTTGTTTTGCTTCAGCCTTTTTTCTGAAGCCTTGTTTTCCAGTCGTGTTTTTATGCTTGCTTCCTTTCCTTTAGAAATGTCTTTTTTAAAAATTAAAACTTAACTAACAGTTTGGATAAATTTTGTTTCAACAGCATTGCTGGCAGACTAGAGAGGTTTAAGAAATAAAATAACATCGTGTTTTTATATACAGTGTTACCTTTGCAGAAGCTTTACAGGTTCGGTTTTACAACCTAACCCTGGCCCTAACACAAGCTTAAAATGATTTTTGTGAGTGAACTGGCTTTCAAAATGTGCTTATTAATCTAATAATTAAGTTAACAAAAATTCTAATTGATCAAATTGTTATAACATCTGTCTCAGATCGAGTGTTTGGCTGCCATCTGTCGAGTCTCTGTGAGCGTGAAGGGACCACGGTACCAAAGTTTGTTCGGATCTGTGTGGACGCCGTTGAGAAACGAGGTACGTTTACTGATACTGAAACTCAGACATGACTGTGCAAGATATGGACACCCACTCTCCCACCCATTCCTTGACATCCTTGCCAGTCACAGGAGCATGTTCAGTGAGAGACTGAGATTATCCATAATGCACCAATGAACGACACAGGAAATCATTGCTGCCCGTGGCCATCTACAGTATACAGTACAATAGTTACACCCCTTTGCACATGCTTTACAGTAAAATAATAACTAACAAAGTTTTACAGGTCAGAGTAAAATGTCAATCATATATATTTCACCTCTGCAATATTCTGGATATTTACAACTGAGCTACTTATATATTAGAGTTATTTCTTGTATTTTGTAAACTTTGTAAATTTTGTAACTCTGTTACCGTTATTGTGTGTGTGTAACTGTGACCACATGATTTCTTTTGGCATTATTCTGATTCTAAACACAGGTACAGTGGTATGAAAAAGTGTTTGCCCTCTTCTTGAGTTCCATCTGGAAATTAAGAAGACTCAGATTCATGCTGACCAATGCATGAGCCAGAGTCAAGTTTCTGCATCTCTATGAAAGTTAAAAAGTACTTCTGCATGGAATTGTTGTATAAAGAATGTGCTGCCATCTGTTTGTGACCTCAAACTGAAGTGCACGTGGGTTCTGCAGCAGAACACAGCAGCAAGTCCTCCTCCGAGTGGCTTAAGAAAAACAAAATGAAGAATTTGGAGTGGCCCAGTCAAAGTCCTGACATGAACCCAGAGTTTATAAAGCCAGTTCATGCTCAAATAACCTCGGATGTGCTAAAATTCCTCCACAGAGCTGTAGAAGATTCATTGCTAGTTATCACAATTGCAATTAGGCTGCTAACGATGGACCAACCAGTTATTAGGTTTAGGGCACTGTGGTGGGGTGTGGTCTGTGGTGCTGCTGCAGGAGATCACGCCTTGCTGGTTATGCGGACTGCTGTAATGCTGTTGTTGTTGGTGATGTGTGTGGCTGGCAGCTTTAGAGCTGCAGTCGTGTGTTTGTGACAACAACCGTGAGAATGCGAAATAAAGAGATGCTTATAAGCATAAAAATGTCGTCAGGTCTGCCATGGATCATTTACAGGGGCAATCAGTTTTCGTAGGTTTGGACTTTTCCCCTTGATAATAAACACCTTCATTGAGAAACTGCATTTTGTGTTTACTTCTGTTATCTTTGTCTATTTAAAATTTTTTGATAATCCGAACCATTTAAGTGTGACAAACATATGAAAAATTCAGGAAGGGGGAAAACACTGTATGTTTAGTTTCTGTTTCCTGAAAGCTAAAGCTGTTTGAGTACAATTAACTAGCAACGAGTAGTACATATGGATCTATTGAATGAGCTCAGACTTAAATTAAGGTTTTTAATAAAGTGTATCTCTTTGCAGGTCTGGAAGCTGACGGGATCTACAGAGTCAGTGGAAACCTGGCCACAATCCAGAAACTTCGCTTCCTCGTCGATGAAGGTCAACTAAACAGTAGCTTTTACAGTAGCTGTAAAGTAGTTAATTTCCCTTTCATTTATGAAAATGGGTTATAATTAATCAGCGTAAGTCTTACATTGCCCTGACAAAGCTAGGGGATTAAAACAAAGAGTCAAACAATGCAGGTTACAAAATGAAACAGAATTTTATTAAGAAATTAAACCTCGATACACAGCTAAGCAACTAAGTCAGTCAACCAAACCCATCAAAATAGTGCTTGTGGCATGGCCTTACACCAATAATTTATATCAAAATGTATTAAATCCTCCTAAGTAGACTCTGAAGTTAAAAACCAATACATATAAAATGGTAAAACAATGTGCTCTGACCTCTTCTCATAAAATCCTGCTCAGTAATATTTCCATGGTTGTCCCACAGAGGAGGACCTGGACCTGGAACACAGTCAGTGGGAGGATGTCCACGTCGTCACCGGAGCCCTCAAAATGTTTTTCCGTGAACTGCCGGAGCCACTGTTTCCATTTAGGTTTTTCCAGCTTTTTGTGGAGGCCATCAGTGAGTAAAACCTGCCTTTGTTATAAATCTTCAGTTTGTGATGACTTCATAAAATGGTTCCTTTATTTCTGTAATCTCTGCTGCTCTTGGTCAGGTCACTTTAAGAATGAGACTTGTATTTAGACAGAATCTCCAGACTGCTTGAACAAGACTTTTCTCCCCCCCCCCCAAGTTTAAAAACGTTTAAACTTCAATTAGAAATCTAAAGGTTAAACTAATGCTGCTGTCATTTGTTTTAACAGAGATCAAAGAACCCAAACAAAAAGTTCAGGCTGTGAAGAAACTGATACAGCAGCTGCCCAAACCCAACCATGACACCATGAAGCTTCTCTTCAGCCACCTGCACAAGTAATCCAACACACACCTGAACCTCACCTGTTAGGAGCATTTACAGTGTTCAGGTGGAATACTGTGGAATAAACCACTGCACATATTACTTTACAAACAAGTGATAATTCTTACATTCCTGTCCATATGGCTTGTATCTTATGTTTCTTGTATTTTGAACACCGCTGTTGCTTGTGAAGCTTGCACACAAGAATTTCACTCACATGTGCTGTGTCAATAAAAGTGATTTGATTTGATGTTCACACAATCAGAAAGGCACCATCAGAAAGGGTCGTATTTATAAACTCAGGATGGGTAGCACATAGTACACTGTTTGATGCTTTGTTAGCTAATTTAAAGGACATGTTAACGTTTGCATTTTCCTTTTGCAGAGTTCTGGCCTTTTCCAGGAAGAACCTGATGTCCACTCAGGGCATCGGAATCGTGTTCGGTCCAACGCTGATGTGGCCTGAACTGGACGCCGGAAACATGGCGGTCAACATGGTGTATCAGAATCAGATTGTGGAGTTCATTCTCACTGAAAGCCAAGAAATCTTCAACTTGGACGGGAAGTAAAAGGTGCTGAGCGGGACCAAATCAGCTGATGGACTCACGTTTACAGATATTAGAAGCCATGTCTGGTTTGGGCCGGGATGTAAAAACTGGAATTTTCAGAAGATATTTTGTCAGAGTTTATATTGCATTAGCACAAATCTATAATTAAATGTTTTGACCCTTTTACCTCTGCCACAATCGGTGTTGTTTTCAAATACAAAAATATACAGTACTCCAATAAATAATTCTAATGATTTTCTGTATATAACCTACCACTGAATATTTAAAACATATCCTAGTGTCATTATAAAATTCAGCTGCATTATCACAAAATTAGCCTGCAGAGCAAACATGTTTTTATTTATAAAACAGAATCTTAGTAATGTTTTTTTTATTTCAAATATAGCATTCACACTACTCAAGGCTTCACATGAACATCTCAAACAAACCCTGTCATATTATTGGTAAAATATTGCTGAAGATTATTTTAAAGTTATTGAATGATGGTGAGTAAATAAGATGATTTGTATGATTAGTGTGTTTGTTTCGAGACAGTCTTGCAGTATAAATATTGACTAAAAAGAAACAATAGAGCCTGAAGTCAACATAAACATCCAACTTTAGTGAGAACTGACGCATTTAAAAAATCTACAGCAGAAAACAGAAAACAAACTGGATTCAGACAATAATTTGTGTCAAAAGTTAAAATGAGTGGATATAACGGAAAATATGTTCATGTGTGAATAATTCAGCCCAGAAAGGGTAAATCTGTCAGCACAAAGAGTTTGATGTGTGTTTGTGAGTTTGACAATTAATCAATGAATTCTGCCAGGAGGTACTGAACCGATTAAAGTTTTTAAAGGTTCTCTCTTGTGGTCTGAACACATCAGACTACAGCGACAAAAATTTATTTAATAAGAATAGAAAAAGAGGTGATTTTAAATTCCTGTAAACAGCATAAGTTTCCACTAGTTCGTGTTTGTATGTTAAGATATTTTAACTGAACAGAAATGAAACGTTCTAAAAATTATTTGAGATTTAAAAGGTTGCACATCTTGTGAGAGACGAAGATACTGAAGGTACATCTCAAGTTTACTTGACTAGTTCCTATTGATAAATATATTTTAGAGATTTCGCTGATTAAAATTTACTAAGCTCAGCCGTCTGTTCCTTGCTATCTACAATATATTAGGACACTGGAGTAAACTTTCGACCATCTCACACTTCTGTTTAATCAGTTTTCTGTTTGACGTTTATTCAGCTGTGTGAAAACTATAACTTTAATCTCAGCCAAAACGATTTACTCAGGAACAAATAAAATACTGAAAAAGCCAAACAATAACATTTTTAAGTTATCTGAGTGACTTCTATATCATTTTTAACCTGAGTAGCCAAAGACCGCGGGGATGTGGAAACGATGTGCAGGTAGTTTGCTGTTGTCGCCCCGGTCAGCTATCGAGCTAGTGGGTCTCTGAAAACGTCGGCGCACTTTTGCAAATATGCGATGTCTTGATAAACTGAGCAGATATTTGAAGTTTACACAGCTACTTTCTCACCTTATAACATGTTAAAAGTTTATTTTGTGACCCAGAAAGATTAATAAGAGTAATATTAAAAACTTTTTTTTTTTTT